GCTCTCTCTCAATATTGTTCTCTGTTGAAATGAAAGGAGGAATTAGAATTCAGAGACAGGCTCCTAGGGAGAATATGAAGACAAAGATTGAGTCAGTGATACAAGGTTGACATGCGTTTAGTTTCTGAAAGGTCTTTTAAAAAAGTCTCCCCCAGAGCAGTGTTGCCACTGCTGAGACTGGCTGGAAATCCACATTAGGGAGTGAGAAGAAAAGAAGGCCTGTGACAGGGACTTGGGGATGGGCCAAAATTTTACTTGCTGATAAAAAAAGTCAAGAATCTCCTAGTGAGGCAGCCAGGATTGGGTTGTCTGCTGACTTGAGCATACACCCCTCCCCTCGCCACCCAGGTGTAAACTGTGGGTGAAGTTTCTCTCAGCCCCCATACCCATATAGGTCGTGTGGGGCTGGCCTCTCATAGTTACACCTACACATACTATCAGAGTCACACACACATGCACACGCATCCCTAGACATATCTCATGAGACTAGCCTCCCCTGCAAGTCTGGAGAACACGTTTTAATGAAGCTGGCTCTTACTCTTTGGCCTCTTCTCTTCCCTGAACCCATCCCTCTGTGCCAAACAGAGGTGAAAAGTTCCAGCTTTGCCCTCTGCAGTTCTAGTTGTGATCTCTGGGTAATGATGGCTGGGAGTTTCCAATATAGCCCCCCCCCCAAAAAAAAAAAAAAAGCACAAAAGCCAGTATTTCAAGACCCATGGTTTTAAAGAGTCCCCTCTAGTGGAGAAAACCTGCTACTCTGACTTCCTGGAGCCCAGAACTGCATGTTCTTGAGTCCACAGAAGGAGCCTGTGCCTGAGGCTCAGTTGCTGTCTCTCCCACCTCAGCACACTGTCAGTCTCTTATCTTTACCTTTCCTCTGTCTCTTGTCTCTCTGTTTATCTGAGACCCTGTCTACATACATCCTGACTTCCGTTATCACACCTGTGCCTCCATGCCTGTGTCAGGAGCAGCATGTTACATCCTCCTCCTGCTTTTATCTGATGAGCTAAGTGCTTTGGAAAAACCTCCTATCAAGTGGTCTATCCTCAGATATCCAAAACAGGACCACAGGCTAGAGGCATTCAGAATCTCTGGTGAAGATTTCAGTAGGAAGAACAAGAGGCTTTGTTCATACTTCCCCCTCGAACCCCTGATACCTCATTTCCAAGCAAACTCTGTCCTAATGGGTTGTTCTATACTTCCAAAGATATCTGCACACAACGTGCTTGGAGTCCTATGTGAAGCCAGCCACCCCCTCATCAGTTCTTCCAGTATGTGTGTGTCTGCTCTTCAGTCTCTGACTACACCCTGCCATATGAACAGTTGACAAGGCCGAGGAAAAGGGACAGGTTAAAGGAGAGGGGAGTGCTTGAAGAAGGAAAGGGATGAGTGAGTGGATCAGGTACTGTGCCAGGAGCTATAGGAAGACAGCAAGGATGGGTAAAACCAACCACTCTGCTGGGAGAAGAGAAGACCGCTGAACAGCACCTGCTGATTTTCAGGGTCTCCCAGAGATATTCCATCATCCAGATAAGGGAGGAGGCCAGACCATGTAAGGGTAGTGGTTAAACAGCTGCTGGAGCAGGGAATATTCTGGAGGAGCTCAGCTGTAAGTCTTTTCTTGCCACCTTCCCCTTCCTTCTATCATCTTATCCTCAAACTCCATAGGGACCTTGGTCCTCAACAACAAATGCCTCTATTCATGCTCTCCAATTCAAGATTGAGCAGCATAGAGTTGCACAGAGGTTCCATACGCCCAGATGCCAGTGAGCAGAGCCCAAAGAAGTCTCGGGGAGAGAGGGTGGCCCCTTCAGACCAGCCATCCCCTACAGGCGCCTTGGGACCAGCTGTTTGACCCGGGAGGAATTGCCTTTCTTTTTGTCTCCATGGGGGTTCACCTTTAGAAGTGACCAAAAAAGCAGGGGATGGCACACCCCCTCCTCATTTACTCTAATCAGGCATGAAGTCTTTGTAACTAAGTGAAAAAACTGTTTCCCATAAGGGAATCAGGGCCATTCATCATTGTTTGAACCGAGCATATGTGATGGGGAGAAACAGACACTCACAGAGAATGAATTGATAACAGACAGCCCTGGGGGAAGAGGTAGCAATGGGAGAGGGGTGGTGTTGGGGTTCTGTACTTAGGAGCTGTAAAAACTACCCAGCACCTCAAAGCCTGCTTCTATTGCTTCCCCGCGTGCAGTCCTGGATTATCCCAGTTAACAGACTGTGTGTAACACAACGCTCCTGTCTCTTTATGATCTGCATGGGCTTGGGAGGGGGGTTGGCTCTGTGCTCCTTGCCTCTCCATTTGCCATGATGGACAGAAGTATACTGTACCCTACTCTCTCTGTGTAGAGACAGCTGTGTGGCAATGCAGGAAGACAGCTGGGGAGGGGGCCCTGGAAACAGGGGTTGCCTTCCTCACACCAAATCCTGTATTTTTGAGAGGCAATCGAGAAAGTAAGGGAAACAGAAGCCATAAAGCTCCACAGACAGTGACAATTCCAGCAGCAGATATTTCAGGATTGCCCGAGCTGGCAAGCCTAAAGCTTTTACCAGCTGCTGTCCTGTGCATTTAAGCATGTCACTAGCTTCCCCTCCTGCTCCTGTGTCTTCTTGTAACATGCCAATGAAATAAAGATTAGCTGAATAATCAGGAGTATTTGTAAGTGGAAGAAGGGGCCTAGCAGAAGCTGTTCTTGGTGATTTCTAACCTTATTTTGAGCACAGAACTCCTGCAAAACAGATGCTGAACTTAAGCATCTACCACATCTGCAACTTCTCTTGGTCAAGAATGTCGCAGGGCAATCCTTCATCGACAGGAGAGAGGAGGGATGTTCAGGGCAGCTCTGATAGGGAGCAGCAGTCTTGGGACGGCATGGTCAGGAGCGATAGTCATATGTTACCAGCATCTGTTCTTCCTTCAGACTTAGGCCAAAAGGTCTGTGGCTCCTTCACTCCTGCCTGGATCTAGGTCAGGAGGGTCCCCTGTCCCTATGCCATGACAATGAAAAGGATGCAGCTGAGACACCCTTGCCAGGCTGTGCCTGGGCAGAGAAACATCCAAGACTCTGGCACTTCAGGGCTTACAGCTCTTTAGCAGAGTCTCTCTTGCACATGGGTCAAAAGCCATGTCCTTTTAATTGCTTTTCAAGACTATTTGCTCCCATCATAATATAATATTCTAAGCATAGTTAAGTAAGGGAATGGAGAGGTCAGTCAGTTCTCAAAGTCCTCCTTTACCAACAGGTTTTCGGACAGGATTAACTGTGAGAAAGAGAAGACAGGTTTTGTAGGCAATACTAGCTAGTGGCAGGAGAGGCAAGTTATGGGACAGGTGGGGGCTTAGCACAGAGGAGGTGATGACAGGTAGAAGACAGACAAACAACAACAAAACAGCCTCCTGGAGTACGGGGCAGATTCCGCTCTGTTTCCTTGGTTCCCTGCCCTCTCTCAATTTTCCACCCCTAGGCCACCCAGCAGAGATCACAGGTAATTACTTCCAAGATGCTCTGTGGGGAGAAGAGAAGTTAATGAATTCTTCTATCTTCCTGCCTGGAGGTCAGAGGATGAAGTGCTGCTAGCAACTCTAGGAGCTTTCCAGGGTGATTGCACAAAAAGTTGTGCATTTCAATTAGGAACAGCTGAATTCCTCCAGCCAGGACTAAGCTCTTCTGGGGACACTGGTCCTTACTGGAAGGCCCCAACGTTCAGAGCTGGCCCAGAGGGAAGAGTGAAATTTCAAAATCTAGAAAGTGGCTCAGCATCACAGGCCTTCTATTGTGTGGAACTGCCGAGAGCTGAGTTCAACCAACTCCAGGTCGGTTGAAAGTGGCCATCCCAGGCATCCCAGGCATGCCTGCTGTCCAGCCCAGATCCTCAGCTGGACAGACTTGGTCCACTGCAGGGATGGCTGTGTCTCAGAATGTCTAATCCTCTGCCGATAGGCCTTCGGAGACATTTGGTACCCTCACTTCTCAAACCATCCACTGCTCTGTTGTGCACAGGGGGCTAGGGAGCTGTGCTGTCTACGATCTTGGTTCTCCACAGAACTGAATAGTCTCTCCCTCCCTTGATAACTACTGGCTCTCCTTTTCAGACTGTGGTGACTGATCTGGTATCCCAAGTTTCCCCAAGCGTTTTCGTCCTCTTATGAGTGTTTCAGCAGGTTTCTCCTAGGACAAGGGTCATGGTAAACAGGTGAACATTTTTGAGGGCCCTAGAATGACATTTTCAGTTTTTGACCATTGAGATCAAGATGAACATTTATGAAGACTACACTTGTGAGTAAAAGAAGATGGAATTTTCTGAGATCCTATCACTTCGTGGGGTAGACCAAAAAAAAAAAAAAAAAAAAAAAAAAAAAGAGTACATGGAGGGAAATGAGCTTTAAGGAGCCTCTTGGACTCTGGACAAAGTCCCACTTCAACCAGCTCCACTGTTGCTCAAACCAAGGGGGCCGGGCCCCAGCTGGGCACTATGCCATGGGGATGGGGGCAGGAACACTTAACCACAGTGCTTCCAAACCGCTTTCACAGCTTCCAGGAATGCCAGCAAAACGATGGCTTCTCCTTCCCAGTCCACTGAACCACTGGAACCGCCAGTGGCCACCTGGGACTCCAGCACCGGGTGAACGCCCCCCAACCGGCCTCTGGCCACAATCGCCCCAGGCTATCTTGCTAGTGCTACAGAGGCCCTCTGTGGGATCCAACCCAGGGACGACCTCGCCGCCCAGGCGCTCCCTAGAGCTGCAGGCAGCCGGCAGGTGCGCGTTGCAAGCGCGCCACGGAGCGCCGGAACCACCGGAGCCGCCGGAGTCGATGGCCCGGAAGCCTGGACAGGAGACTGCAGCTGCGAAAGTGGCGGATCACGCGCGGATACTCGCTGACACAACCAAGCCAGGGCCGGGGCCAGGACCCCTAGGGGACCTGGGAAGGCTGCGCCTGAGGACCTGCCGCGGGCGCGCGCTCGGGGAAAGGGCGGAGGGCGCCGCTTACCCAGCTCGGCGATGTCTGTCTGTCCGTCCTTGCGTTCCCCGCTTCGTCCGACTCGACTGGCAGCTGCCCAGGGCAGCGCGCGCCTAGTCCTTGCCTGACCCGAGTCACACAGACAGCCAGGTCCACATGGAACCCAGAATCATTAAAATCCGCGGCCCGTGCCGGTCGCCTGTCTGTATTCCTGAGGTGGCCCTCGATTGGATCTTCGCGTTTTCGTCCCGGTCGCTTGCGCGCAGGGACCCGGTCGCGAAGGGGCGTGGGGTCCCGCAGGGTTCCTCGGAGGAAGCTCAAAGCCGGCTGTCTTCAGGTTTCCCCTGCACGACTTTCCGGGCTGCTCTGACATCAGCGATCCCGCGCGCTTCCTTCCCTTCTGCTCCCGGCCGGCTGGGCCCCATTTCCTCTGGGAACCGCTGCCAGCGCCGTCTGCAACAGGGCCCGTAAGCTTCCCGTGGCTCCCCGGCTCACGGGTCCACCGGATCGGATCGCTCGTCCTCGGCTGAAAGATCTCGGCAGCTGCGCCCGCCGCCCCCGCTCGGCTCTGCGCGGGCAGTGCTGCGCGCAGCGCGGTTAGGCTCGGCTCCGGTGGCGGCGCCCTCAGCCGGCCTCCTATATTACCGCGCAGCTCATTATCATAGAGGCCGTGTTAACCCCCTCCCCTCCCACGCGCCCCGCCCGCGCAGACCGAATACCCTAGCCTGTCCACCCAAGAACCCGGCTAAGCTATGGTGCTGCAGGCGATCGCCCGGTTCAGCTTGGACCACTAGACACCGTCAGCAGCCAAGGGGCCAGAAAGGTGCTACCAGAGTATGGGGACTCAGGGCCTGCTGAGCCGGCTGGCTTGGCCTCGGGAGGGGCTCAGAATGACGAGGGAGATCCATCCCCTCGCGTGGCTTCACCTGTCACGGAGCACAGCCTAACTCCTTCCTCTTCACCTGTGAGCTAGGGGTGAGTGCTGAGGGTCCTGCCTTGCTGATGGGGATGGGGTCTTGGATTTCAGAGGACCATATTTTTCCTCCTTATAATTCCCAGAAAGCCAGCGAGCTGTCAAAAGAGGTTTGAAGTTATTGATAATTATTATTTCTACAATGTGAAGAGGAGCCTGGATTTTCTTCCCGGTGTGCTTCGGCGCGCTCACGGTCTTGGTTCCTTGGCTCGTAGTCTGTGTGTCTGCAGTGGTGGTCAAGGCTTTCCCGTGAGGGCCTGTGTACAAGGTGTACCCTAGCGAGGTCTCAGGGTCTTCAAATTCTCTGACGGAGACTGAGCAGTACTTTACTCAGCAGTCCAAATGTCTGAGAAACGCCCCTTACTGCCCTCTCGTGGCCACACTCTTCAGCGGTATAAAAAGAAGGATGAAGGATCATTGCCTCTGAAAGCCTAAAAACAGTTGGCAGAAATTCTCAGTAGCAGGGCCTTTAAAGAGAGAAGGGGAAGGGAGGGAGGGAGAGACAGAGACAGAGATAGAGAATCACTTTCAACAACTATCTCAGAGATATGGGACTGACTTTGGAATGTAGGCTTCACTTCAATTAACCTTTTCTTTTCCTTCTCTTTCTACCTTTTTTTTTTTTTCGTTTTCTTTGAAGTAGGATTTCACTATGTATCTCAGATTTTTCTGAAACTTGCTATTGTAGACCATAGTGGTCTAAAATTCACAGAAGTCCTCCTGCCTCGGCCTCCCAAGTGCTGGGATTAAAGATATTTATTTGCTACCACATTGGATGGATACCTGGATCAATTAGCTATTCTTTTAAAAAAAAATCTAGTTAGCTCATTTAAAAGCTCTTCAATTGATTAAATAATTGGCTTAAATAAGTTTCACTAGGTGTTGCTGATTTTCTCCTTTGGAGCCACAAAGAATCTGAATTCCATGATGCACAGCTATCTTGTCCTTTGAATTTATGTACCATCTATTTTTTATAAAATTCCGGGTGATCTCACAGTTTTTTCCTGTATTGTTGTTTATATATTTATGTAAGTGGGTCTTGTCTCCCTACCCAAATAATTGAGTTATCCTCTTAGGTTTGAGTACAGTGGATTTGAACCACGGTTTGTTTAAGGAAGAGGAAAAGAAGATGCTCACAGGTTCTAGAACATTTTGCCATGTGTTTAGTGAGAGCAGCATCAGTCTGGCCAGCCTCACCTTGGTAGGTCTGAGATAAATAGCTGAACATAAGGTCTTAGTTGAACATTAGGACCCTAAACCAAGTTCTGTTTAACTGTGTGTGTGTGTGTGTGGGGGGGTGTCTTATCTCTTCTTGGTGCCTCAAGTTAATTTCATCTTGTGATGATTACAATACAATTTAGATAATTTCAGACACAAGTCCCCACCCCCTGTGATCTAGAAATAAACCCTTCAATGAAGAATGAGGGCACATTAAATCAGAGTAGCTCCTACACAAATACCCACCCCGTTCTGTGCTCCCCACTCTTGCCCTGCCCGTCGCGAATAAAGGAAGAGAGTGGGAGAAAGCACACCTACAGACAGATCGCACTGCAGGCCCTGTGACATGATACTCCCACATTGCCGCTGAGCATCATCTGAAATGGAGCCAGCACAGGATGCCATCCCAGAAGCCTGAGCTAGAGGTGCCTGGGTGAAGCACCCTTGTCTTTCTTAGACCTGTTTCCTGTCTCTAAGGTAAGATTCCAGCTTAAAATCTTCAGGAAGCTGGTACGTTAAAACCAGCTGTGAAGATTTTGAAGAACTGATAGTATCCTTAAAATGTAAAGTTTGTTGATGTCTTATTAGTTGTGTGTGACAAAACTTTTCATGAGGAGATGCAACACACGTCTACTCATCCAGCTAGGGAACCCATGACGACCAAAGTATGAACGCCACCAAAGGCTGACTTGGTAAAACACTGAGTTTTATTGCGGTTACTTACAGGAGTATGGCAAGGGGTTACTTGCAGGAGCAGAACTGACTCAAGGACAGCTGCATCACCGAGATCTACTCCAGCACGCGTGACCTTCCAAGTCACTCTCGTCTATCCCTCTTCTGGGCAAAGCGCTGGTTTGACTCTTCTCTGCAGCTCAGCTTCCTTCCATCTGAGGCAGACTCAGATTTTATGCTTACTCTGGTAGAGAGGAATCTAGTGGATCTGGTCAGGTACAGGAACTTCCTAAAGCTATTTTGAGTTGTTTATCTTCCTGTTTAAGGTGGGTCCTACACGATTGAATGTTTTTATCTTGGAGAAAACTGTTACACACTATTAGGTAAGCACATGGTTACACTTTAAGAATTACGATAAATAGAACCCATGCTTGACACTGTGCTGGTGGCCGAGAACTTGAAGAAAGATAGGCCTAGGTGAAAACCAAAAGCCATTGTTCTTCCAAGAGGTATAGTAATAAAAGTACCCTAATGACATTCTGTTACAGCCATAGCATACATTAGCCTCCAGAGACTGTGCACAGCTTGCATGCACAGGGCCTGCGCAGGGCTCAGATAGCGTCCCGGCGCTGAAAGGGGGAAGCAGACTGGAACTCCCATACCTAACCGAGAAGCTATCTCCAGTTGACATCCACTTGCAAAGGAAAAATTCATTTTATCCAAAGGAATCTCATTCATCATATTAACCAAACTTAAGGGTGGGTCAAATGTTTCATAGTAGATGGCCAACACAAAAGGACCACGATGGTATTTTTGTACATATTTTATCTCACTTTGCTTTGATTTTTTTGTTTTGTTTGTTTTGTTGGGCTTTACTGTATATCATCATTTCCATTTTTATGTTTTAATGGGTTTTATTTGCTGTGTGTATGTTTCTTGTTTGTTTTTTAATTTGGAGTTTGGGGTTTTTGCCTATTTTGTTTGTTTTCTAAAAAGAGGGAGAGAAAGGATATGATGTTTGGTGGGCAGAGCTTTGGGAAGGATTTGATAAGAGATGAGGAAGAGGAAACTGTGATCAGAATATATTATATGAAAAATTTAATAACAAGAATTACGATAATCACTTTAGTTTCCTGATTTTTATAAGTGAGAGTAATGTCCGCAGCCTCAGCCCTTAAAGGTGCTGAGCTAACCTATCTTGACCATCATTTATTGGACCACAAAGTATTAAGAACAACTTTATTACATTTCTTCGTTCAGTACTGAATATAGTGCATAATTCTCTCTTTAGATAATTTATAATCTTAATTGACAAATAACAATAAATGTCTGTAGAGTGCAGTGTGACACTTTACTGTATGCAGCATTTCATGGAGCAACTAGCATAGTGTCACCTCAAACAGTTATTATTTACTTTGCAACACGTAATAAATTATTGCAAACTATAGTGTCCTTACCATGCTATGGACTGTGGAGCTTAGCTCTCCTATCCAGTGGTAACTGTGACTTGGCTAGCCAACTCCTTGATCATCCTCCTAGGTTCTGGCAGCCACCCTAGGAGTTTCTACTTCTATGATGCCTGTGCATGAGCCTTTCAGTGCCTGGCTTTACTCACTTGACAGAAAGTGCCTCTGAACACATGGACTGCCACAAATGAGAGGCAGAGTGGTATTAAGGCTAAGTGGTATTCCATTTTTCAGTCTATAAATAACAGACTCCATACCCCCATGCTTTTCTACCTTTCTGAGAATTCAACTTTTCCTGTATCTACCTGGCTTTCCAGTGTTTCCTTTTCATCTTGCTCAGCTGATGTCAAATCTCAGGCCTTGGGAGACTTTCCAATGGGAGACAAGTGGCAGGTATTTAACAAATATACATCAAATAAAGGATGTTCTTATCTTTGGAATTTGTTGCAAGCTCCAAGGGGTTCTAACTCGACTGTTCCACACAGTGATCCTGAGGCCCTATTCTGGCACAGTCATGAACATTTACATTTCTGTCTCTGTCCCCAGGATCCTTCTTTCCCTGTTACCACGTGACTGATGTAGATAAGATGATGAGAAAAGTAAGAGAGAACAAGAGTTGTGTTCCAGGAGGGACTAAAATTCCTGTGAAAGGCACCGGCAAGCAAGCCTGTATGCTGGGAGAGAATGGTCCCAAATGGGCAGCTAGCCCATCCCCAAAAGAGTCCTCTCTGTCATAGCAGCAGCTTCAACTCCACAAATAGATGCCAGTTTGGTAGCCC